ACTACGTTTATTCAACATTACCACAATAAATCATGAAATGTGCTACGTTTTATTAGCAACATTACCACAATAAAACATGAAATGTACTACGTTTTATTAGCAACATTACCACAATAACACATGAAATGTGTTAAGTTTTATTAGCGCTCTAATCAACATTTCGAAATGCTACAGAGTACTTACCATCTGCCTTTTGAACAAGACCGATCCACGGGTTAATTTGTAGAGAAGAAATGTACGGTTGAAACACCCGGAGTTCGTGTTCTGAATGGAAGCTTACAAGAGTAGAATCTGGAATACAAATCATTATTTGAAATATTCAAAACAAATAAATAACCTGAATCTGTGTACAATAAAATGTCCGAAGTCATCCAAGAAAATAGGGTTAAGTTACATGGGAAAACCATTTGATGGGCTTCTCGTAAAAATACAGTTAAGACAAATCGTCCAGACAGTTTAGATCAAGTGTATGATTCTACGATGAAAAAACTGAGAAACAGGATATCTAGATATATAAATAATAATTAATTCAATTATGTTTCAACCCTTTCTGTATCTATACCTTAAGAAATGCTAATATCTTAAAAAATGGAATATGCCCAATACTAATGTCTTATGACAAGCAAAATGTAACAACTTATTATATATTTTCAAAGTCTGTCTGTTCCTGACCTTTTCAGACATTCTGACGACCCAGTTTAGGTTCGTAACTCATGGGTTGAGAAACACTACTCTAAAGATCTTATTTTCATATAATCATCAAAGTTGGCGCTTTCTATTGGATAGCTTTCGACTCTCTAGAAAGATGTGGGCATAAAACACATGATAAATGAAGCCGTAATATCCAATATTATAGTCTTTCCACTCTTTACTAAATTAAGGTAGCTTAAGTAACTTACTTTTCATTATACATTTACGTGATGCCTCACCCCACTGTGCTCTGGTTTTGTCTTCAATATAGTAACAGTACTGCCCTCCGAGGTCAAGCCAGTGTGAGAAATTACTCGGACATTCCATGTCAGCTGGTTCAGGGATCAGTGGTGGTTCATCTAGAATATTAAAACAGCATAATAGTGAATATAATCAGAAAATAGTAAAACAGACTTCAAAATGTAAATGTAAACAGTGAAACGAAACTAATATCTAAATTTATCATTTGTTAGATATACATGGCTGTTTCAGTTTAATGCAAGTGTTATTATTTAGATAGTTTATGCAGTATTAAATTTAGTTATTTTTAGAAGTGATAGTTTATGGCAAGATTGTTTACGTAACTGTTTACAAATTATACGTTGTGTAGTTAAGTTGTTATAAATTGGTGATTGCTATATTATTCCATTATAATATCTAGTAGTGAGTAGAACGTTATAGAGTGTAGACCTCTGTTGGGATATGAATACGCGTTGAATATTTAGTTCTAGATCTAGATCTAGATCGTGAGTTTAACGATAAAGAACTTTTACGACAGCGGAAGTCACGATGCACGGTAGAGTTTCTGGAAAGATCATGAATTTTCCTGGCAACTCTAGTCTACTTGGGCTACTTTTCACCAATGAATAGTGTGATTGGCCGTCACATTATAACGGGCTCACAACTGAAAAAGAGAGCTTGTTCGGTGAGGGATTTCGGATTCGCGACTCCAAAATAGCGAGTTGATTACCCTAACCACCAGGCTATACTAGACCATATTACAACTGAAGAAAACAAACAACCCGAATACTTTCATAATATAGACCATTTTCTATTATCCCCATGAAGAGGTCAGATCAAATTTTCCGTTCTCCTGGCAACAACCTTATAGATGTTGTTGGATATGTCCCATAAATACCGACATGGTTAGGTTCAACATTAGATCAGAAAACAGTAAAATAACACCAATGTACATACAGTATTTTCGTTTTCAGATTTCTTGATTTTTGTCAGGTTGAATGACATTAATTTTAGTCTTCACAATAAAAGTGATTATGTTGGTTGTTTCAGGTATCTACCTAAAGTACACTTTTCAAATGTATAAACCTTTCTAATTCTAACCAACAACATCCTAACAATTGGTTGTTTCAGGTATCTACCTAAAGTACACTTTTCAAATGTATAAACCTTTCTAATTCTAACCAACAACATCTAACAATTGGTTGTTTCAGGTATCTACCTAAAGTACACTTTTCAAATGTATAAACCTTTCTAATTCTAACCAACAACATCTAACAATTGGTTG